ATATAGATGATTGTATTGCCTAGGCCCGAGAATTTGAGTTGTCTTCTTGAGAAGGCCTTCCCGCTCAACCTGCTGCAAGTGATTCCTTGAGTACTAGTTCTGAGTATTCGGGGACCGAAGGGGAGGTTGAAGAAGAAGAGGATGAAGGCCAGGAATCAGCAACTGATCCGCTTTCCTCCACCAGGGGAGACGCGGATCCCTCTCTCCCTTTGAGCTTCGACGACAATAATGCTTAGATTATTTTTTCTCTTTTTTTGTACTTTATAATTATGCCAATTCATCGAGGTTGAAACTTTGATAAATAAAGAATAGTTTTGCTTAAGTGTTGTGCAAAATACATTCCTTTTGCATCGAATTAGTTAAAGCTTTGGGTATACTTTCATTCAATAACTTTTGATTTTGGGCATAAAATTTTCCGGAATCAACCTTTTACTATGAGTGTTTCATAAAAGAAGGCCCCTTATGTTTATGGTGCTCTTGAAGAGGACGTGTCATGTTCATTCCGGCACGAACATTTAAAGTTTTTGTTAACTTTTAAATGATAAAATCAACTCATCATTTAGACAAGAAACAAGATAAAAATAAAAGGCCTTTATTTTATTCCTTATATCTTTAAAAGTACATAAGCATTCATTTGCTAAAGTAAAAAACTGCCAATACATGTGGCTAACTTGTACAACTTATTTCTATGGGGCTGATCATGTAGTCCCCGGTCCTGATGAGATATTATTGTTCCCGGTTCTAGCAGTCCCCGATTTTTGTGGCATTCTTGTTGCCATATATTATACTATTTCCCCCAGTGTTTCAATGCGAAGTATACGAATTGGAACACTAAAAGTCTTGCTTCGTTGGTAGAAACAACTTGTGAATAGTTAAATAGTCTTTGGTTCAATGACAAGCTTTGCTTTGTATCAACAATTTGCCATCAACCCAAAGATTATTTAACCATCCCCACAGCGGTTTATAATTTATGTGAAGACTTCAATGCCTTGTCATTTAAAGATCCTATCCTTGCCAATGACGCTCCTTTTGTAGTATGCTTTTCGTTGCTGCCTCGTTAAAAACCTTGCTAGAAAAACTAGATTGGGACAAAAACTGGTCAAAGGAAAAAGAGTGCAGGACATACTTTCAGTATTGATAGTATCCATCAGCAGCAATACCTTTTGAGGTGAGTCACGTTACAATTGCTGGGCAATTTGATTCCATCTTCATTTTCCAACTCATACGACCCTTTACCGGTGATAGCTGAAACCCGATAAGGACCTTCCTATGTTGGACCTAACTTCCCGATTTTTGATATCCCAAGTGCTCTGAGTCACTTTTCTTAAAACCGAATCTCCTACTTTGAAGTAGCATAGATTGGCCCTCCAGTTATAATATATTTCCATCCTTTGCTTTTGAGCCACCATTCTCACGTACGCTAAGTCCCTGTGAGCAAATCCAGCTTTACTGGCAATGCCTCATCGTTTGCTTCTTCGTTTTCTTGGGAAAAAATCATAAATCGACCCCCACTTCTACCGGTATTAGAGCTTCCGTACCATATACAAGAGAGAAAGGTGTTTCTCCCGTGCTCGATTTTGTCGTTATCCGATATGCCTATAGCATACCTGGAAACTTTTCTAGCCATTTTTCTTTAGCAACTTCTAACTTCTTTTTAAGGTTTTTGATAATTATCTTATTGGTTGACTCCGCCTTTCCATCATAGTTGGATCGGATGGGTTGGTATCGCAGAAGTAGAAGGACTCCACAGGTGCGAGTGCGCATGAGCGAGGTTATGATTGTAGAAGCAGTCGTGTAGGTGCGCATTGGAGTTTAATAATTTTACGCACCTGCAATGGTTTGTCCGCAGGTGCGGCCTTTTGGATCGCAAATGTGGGATCGCTGGGCAGAATTATAAATCAAAGGGTTAGAGTGTTTTTTCATTTTGGACAATTTGGAACTCGGCTAAGGGCAATTTTTGAGAGGGTTTTTGCTACAATTGAAGGGGTAAGTGAAGTTTAATCTCTTCTTTTTTGTTAGATATTGATTACTCATTCATTGTTACACCTAGTTTATGTGAATTTGAAGTGAAAATGGGGGATTTTAGACTATGTTTTTGGAGAATAAGATTTGAGGTTTTGGGAGTCCATTTGTGGTTGGAATTGGATGAAATTAGTATGGTTGAACTTGTAATTGAATGAGTATTCAGAATTTGTGAATTTTATCGTGTTCCGGGGTGCAAGCCCAGGGTTGAATTTCTAATTTTAATTAAAGTTTTTTGCTTTATCATTTGAGATTGTTTCCTATGAGTGTTGATAGTATTAAGTTGTTTATGACTAGATTCGAGTCATTCGGAGGTCGATTAGCAAGGCAAGGGCTTGTTGCAGTATTGAGTTGCACATTTTGAGGTAAGTAACATTTTCAAACTTGGAATTGAGGGTAATTATCCTTGGGAACCATGTTATTTGTGATGTGTTGGGGTGACGCACATGCTAAGTGACGGGCGTGAGGGCGTGCACCAGGGAAATCATGATCTGGGATGACTGTTGTATTGTGTTGCTATCTTGTTTTATTTTATTCGTATTTTTCCTACTTGTTAGATTTATCGATCTATGATTCATGCTAAAAAAAATTTAGGCTATGTGGTTATCTGTTCAAGACTTCATGAGGCTATTTCGGTTGTTATGGGGTATCTGACTTAACTGTAACTATACACTCTGTCATGATTCTTTATCTTCATATCATATCTTAGTCTCTGTTCATTATTCATTGTATCATTATTTTTCCATATGTGGTGATGTTAGGATGAGTGATATAAGATTGTGAACCTCTGAGACTTGATAGGTGATGACTGAGGTATGCCTTAGACCCGTGTTGAGAGTGTTATTGTTGATTGGGTTGCACGCCGCAGTGGGCCATATTGGCTTATGTAGATCAGGCTGCACGTTATAGTAGGCCTTATTGGCTTTTGATTAGCACTTGGGTAGGATCTACCCCTCCATAGTCTGACATACCACACACACACACACACACACACACACACACACACACACACATATATATATATATATGTGTGTGTGTGTGTGTGTATGTGCGCTTGGTGAGGGGCATTGATGCCAGCACCCATACAATTCAGAGTGATTGTGTGTGTGATGAGGTGGACATTTGAGACAGACAACTTGAGTATGTTGAGAGAGAGCATTTGGTGATATCATTGTGAAATCATTCATTTGACATGCATACTTGACATGTAGGCATAGAGATGTATCATTCCCAATGCTAACTGTAACTAAAATGTTCTTATCAGTGTTGGGTTTTAATTGTTATACTTGAAAGTATGTCTAAATTTCTGAAAAATGAACAAGTTGATTATGAAAATTCCTTTAAGTTACCTATTGCTATTATCATTATTATATCTATGTTGTCATTTATATTAGTTTCTGACTGCTTTCTTCTGAGCTCGTCACTGCTTTCAACCCAAGGTAGTCCTATTTCTTATTGAGTACATAGGTTCAGTTATTGTCATACTACACTCTGCACTTCATGTGCAAATCCAGGTACATCTAGACATGGTGATTTCTAGAGTCGTGCTAGTGCAAGTACTTGGAGACTTCGTGGTAGATTCTACGACGTCCACAAGACATGGTGCTAGTACCATGGCTTCTTTCACTGCCCCTTTTGGAAATTCTGGTCTCCTTTTTAGTGGAGGCCCAAAGAGAAACAAAGACAAAGAAACTGACATCGATTCTGATCCTCCCACTATAAGCACCATCAGACCAAAGCAACTTAGTACTGCTAATGACTTCCAAGAGAATTCCTCTTACGCATCTTCACGGACTTGGGACGTTATTAGGTACCTATCCTCCATTCGCCCTTCTAGTATTCCTATTTTGAAGGAGGACTGCAACTGCCATAACCTTGACATCCTTGCTTCAGACATGATAGAGCAGGTTACCTTCACCAAGGAGGGTTTTATATATGTCTATGTGTATCCCTTTACCTTGGGTTCATTTTCCCTAGGGTCGAATGAAGGGATCGATCTTGTAATTTTGGAGTCTTGCCACCGGTGTTGGGTCTACTTATCACAAGTAGGCCCATCTATATGGAGAACGGTGCCTTACCTTCGCCAACTGTTCATGGAGACCGAGGAAACCCTAACACACATGATGCATTTCTACTCCCCCAGAATTTTTCGTGAGAGAATAATAAATTTCAGCAAACGTGGACGTCGCACTCTTCTCACCAGCGTGGATGATGAAAATGATCATGGGTGGATGGAGCAATGTATCATCATTGCTACTAGGGACATCATCCCGGCCACAGCTTCACCTTTTTCCCAAGTTGTGGAACCGTTTTTGTAAGTTTTTGATTTATTCATTTCCTTCATGAAAAGATTATTTTCAATTAACTTGGATTTTCCTATTTCTTTTGTTCCAGATTCCCGATAGGAACCACTACGGGTTCAAGGTCTGGACCAGTGGGTTCAGAAAATTCTAGAAATCACAACACCAAAATCCCGTCGGTGGAAGGAAATGGCCCTCAAATACCGGTAGAAGGCTAAAAATCATGGTAAACCGAGTCTTTCTTCCTTTTATCTTCGTACAAATGTAGGTAAATTTTCTAACTCCTTTTTTTTTGCTTGATTCAGGACTTCCGCAAGGTTTTGTCACCTACCCCTATGTCGATATTTTAGTTGACCTCGAAAAGGCTAGGAGGGTGCTACAAAGTGCCCTTGCTCGAAGTAGTGCCCGCGGATTTGCTTCTAGTGAAGGTGCTTCTTTTCGGAGTCCCCAGCTAAAGAACAAGCAACCAACAAAGCAATGTTCTTCCTCGGCTGGCACTCAAAATAAGAAAATAAATAAAGCACCAATCGAGCCGGCCACAGTGGTTGTTTTAGAGGACTGGGACGTCAGTGATGAAGTGGATCTCCTTCAAAGGAGAAAAAAATCTTCATCAGCTCAACTGATTGTTTAGCCGGGAGAAGATATCCAAGCTTTTGGGCAAGATGGAAAGGGTAGCTAATGCTAATTCTCGCTTTCCAACCCATGTTACTGTCTCCGGTCCAAAGGAGTTCGGATCCCGAGTCTCTTCTGCGTTCGGCCACTAATCAAGCAATAATTAGCACTGCTACGGCCGCAACAGCTTTTCATCCTTCCATGCCAACAACTTCACGCCCCTCAACACCAGCTGCACCTTCGCCACCAGCACCAGCTGCATCTCCTCCACTGGCAACAGATGTTCAAAAGAGGGGTGTTTCTTCTCCCCGATCTCCCAACCATGGGAATTTGTGGCACATTTATTCACCCCTTCCCCAGATCCTTGAGGGAAGAGAAATATTATTCTTTTAGTTTTTAAGGAGTGTCATCTGTTGTCCACGTCGATGAAGCTTGCGAACTATCTAAAGTCGTTGTCTTCAGAAAATGATTGGAAGAAAGTGTGCTCCCTTTTGGGAGAATGCTTGTTGAATAATGTCATGCACAACGCAGCATCAGTACCGTACTTGTCTTCTTACAACTTCTGTTCCCTTTACCCGCTACAACGAGAATTCTAACCTTGATACTCTTTTTATAGGCCAACTTTCTCGCTTTCGAAGGCCTATAGAGTTTGATCCTTGATAAGCCAGGGCTCGCTTCCGAGCAGGATCAACTATTGACCGAAAGCAACCAACTTGTCGGCATGCCTCCTGTCAATAGAGGAAAAATCTACTAAGATAGGCGAGCTTGAGATCGAATGCAAAAGAGCGAGCAAGATAAATTGTCCTACAACCAAGAATCCACTCAATTACACTAGCAACTTCAAGAGGCTAAGACTAAGTGGGTCGAGCTCCACGATGCTTTGCTTGCTGCTGCCGAGCACGAGTCTGCCTTCGAGGAGCAAATAAATTATTTGAAGGCAGACTTATGCACCAAAATCGAGGAGTCCAATTCTTCCGAGGTGAAGAGGGCCTGAATGGAGAAAAGGCTAAAGAGGTTGTTGGACCAAAACCGGCTCCATTTGGCTACGATTGTTGAGCTCGATGCTCGCCTCGTGCCATGAGATCCGAGAGGGACGACCTCCATGTCGAAATTGAAAAGTTTCAAGAAAATCTCCAGAACCAATAGGATTTCCTCGTATTTGAGAAAACTTATGCAGTATACACTATGAGGTGGAAGACCTTGGAGGAGGCCAAAGCGGGCATTGCTAATATACATGATTGTATTGCCCAGGCCCGAGAATTTAAGTTATCTTCTTGAGAAGGCCTTCCCGCTCAACCTGCTGCAAGTGATTCCTTGAGTACTAGTTCTGAGTATTCGGGGACCGAAGGAGAGGTTGAAGAAGAAGAGGATGAAGGCCAGGAATCAGCAACTGATCCGCTTTCCTCCACCAGGGGAGACGCAGATCCCTCTCTCCCTTCGAGCTTCGACAACAATAATGCTTAGATTATTTTTTCTCTTTTTTTGTGCTTTATAAGTATGCCAATTCATCGAGGTTGGCACTTTGATAAATAAAGAATAGTTTTGCTTAAGTGTTGTAGAAAATACATTCCTTTTGCATCGAATTAGTTAAAGCTTCACGTATACTTTCATCCGATAACTTTTGATTTTGGGCATAAATTTTTCCGGAATCAACCTTTTACTATGAGTGTTTCATAAGAGAGGGCCCCCTTATGTTTATGGTGCTCTTGAAGAGGACGTTTCATGTTCATTCCGGCATGAACATTTAAAGTTTTTGTTAACTTTTAAATGATAAAATCAACTCATCATTCGGACAAGAAACAAAAAAAAATAAAAGTCCTTTATTTTATTCCTTCTATCTTTAAAAGTACATAAGCATTTATTTGCTAAAGTAAAAAACTGCCAATACATGTGGCTAACTTGTACAACTTATTTTTACGGGGCTGATCATGTAGTCCCCGGTCCTGATAAGACATTATTGTTCCCGGTTCTAGTAGTCCCCGATTTTTGTGCCATTCTTGTTGCCATATATTATACTATTTCCCCCAGTGTTTGATTGCGAAGTATGCGAATTGGAACACTAAAAGCCTTGTTTCGTTAGTAGAAACAACTTGTGAATAGTTAAATAGTCTTTGGTTCGATGACAAGCTTTGCTTTGTATCAGCAATTTGCCATCGACCCAAAGATTATTTAACCATCCCCATAGTGGTGTATCATTTATGTGAAGACTTCAATGCCTTGTCATTTAAAGGTCCTATCCTTGCCGATGATGCTCCTTTTGTAGTATGCTTTTCGTTGCTGCCTCGTTAAAAACCTTGCCAGAAAAACTAGATTGGGACAAAAACTGGTCGAAGGAAAAAGAGTGCAACACATACTTTCAATATTGATAGTATCCATCAGTAGTAATACCTTTTGAGGTGAGTCACGTTCCAATTGCTGGGAAATTTGATTCCATCTTCATTTTCCAACTCATACGACCCTTTACCGGTGATAGCTAAAACCCGATAAGGACCTTCCTATGTTGGACCCAACTTCCCGGTTTTTGATTTCCCGAGTGCTCTGAGTCACTTTTCTTAACACCAAATCTTGTACTTTGAAGTAGCGTAGATTGGCCCTCCAGTTATAATATATTTCTATCCTTTGATTTTTAGCCACCATCCTCACGTACGCTAAGTCCCTGTGAGTAAATCCAGCTTTACTGGCAATGCCTTATTGTTTGCTTCTTCGTTTTCTCGGGAAAAATCATAAAGTCGACCCCCACTTCTACCTGTATTAGAGATTCCGCACCATATATGAGAGAGAAAGGTGTTTCTCCCGTGCTCGATTTTTCTGTTATCCGATATGCCCATAGCACTCCCGGCAACTTTTCGGGCCATTTTTCTTTAGCAGCTTCTAACTTCTTTTTAAGGTTTTTGATAATTACCTTATGTAATCCTCTTTATTTTCAAATCTTCCAAAAATCTTGTGACTTTTGAGCTTATGAACTACGGTCTGTTATCACAGTCGATCTCTTTCGGTATTCCAAATCAGCAGATTATGTGGTCCCATAAGAAGTCGACCACTTCACACTCACCATCTTTTGATAAGGACCTACTTCAACCCATTTAGTGAAGTAGTCAGTTAAAATTAAAAGAAATCTTACATTTCCCAGATGCAGTGGTAGTGGCCCAACTATGTTCATCCCCCATTTTATGAATCGCCATGGGGAAAGTACCAAATGCAAGAGTTCCGCCGGTTGGTGTACCAACTGCGTTGACATTTGTCGCATTTCTAAATGAATGTCTTTGCGTCCTATTACATCCGAGGCCAATCGTAACCGTCCCTAACCAGTTTTAGGACTAACAAATCTGTGCCAAACTGATTCCCACAAATATTTGTGGACTTCTCTCATCATATAGTCTGCCTTCGATGCCCCCAAAAACCAGGTCGATAACCCTTGATATGATCTCCTATATAACTACCTATCTATGAGGCAGTAACGAGCCGCTTTGGTTCATTGTTCCTGGGATGCCTTTGGGTCTTCGAGTAATTTGTCATGCTAAAGATATTCGACAAACTTATTTCTCGAGTCCCAAATTAGGTTGGTTGAATTGACCTCGAAGTAACTATCCACATCCAATAGCGAATGTAGAAGTTGAACGACAGTTCCAGAGTCAGATCCTTTCATCTCCATAGATGACCCCAAATTGGCCATTGCATCTGCTTCCATATTTTCTTACCTTGGGATATGTATGATCGACCATTCCTTGAATCGTGCAAGCAATGCTTGAACTTTGTTCACATACTATTGCATGCATTCTTCCTTTGTATCAAAAATTATGTACACTTGGTTTACTACCATCTAAGAATCGCATTTTATCTCGATGACCTCGGAGCCAAGTCCCTGGACCAGTTCAAGTCGTGCAACTAAAGCCTCATACTCGGCTTCATTGTTAGTTAATAGAATAGTTTTAATGGCCTGCATCGGGTTTTCTCCCGAGGGTGTGACTAGAAGTACCCCGATATCGGACCCTTTTACATTGGAAACTCCATCTGTAAATAGGGTTCAAACTCTTGATGTCATTTCTAACACCAACACTGCTTCTTTAGCAGCCAAGGGTATTAATACGAGACTAAAATCGGCCACAAATTTGGCCAAAACTTGTGACTTGATTGCAGTCTTGGATTTGTACTCAATGTCGAACTCACTAATTTTGACTACCCATTTAGCTAAATGACCTGACAATTCAGGTTTGTGAAGGAAATTTCTTAAGGGAAAGGTCATCACAATGACTATCGTGTGGCACTGAATATAAGGCCTAAGCTTTCGAGAGGCGACTACGAGAGCTAAGGCCAGCTTCTCGAGGTGCGGATAAGGAGTATCCACTCCCAATAATATTTTACAAGCATAATAGATAGGAAACAACGTACCTTCTTCTTCTTAGACTAAAACGGCACTTACCGCTACTTTCGAGACCGCTAGATATATTAGCAACTGCTCGCCTTCCCCCTATTTTGAGAGTAACAAAGGGACTTGATCAGTATCGTTTTAAGCCTTTCAATGCATGTTGGTATTCTGGAGTCCATTTGAAATTTTTCTTCCTTTTTAGAAGTGAGAAGACGTTATGGCATTTTTTTAGGATCTCCAGATGAACCTGCTTAAGGCTGCCAACCTACTGGTTAGTCTCTGCACCTCCTTCATTCTCGTCATCTGGTCTAAGATATCTTCAATGGCTTTGATTTTGTTGGGATTTACCTCGATCCCTCTTTACGATACCAGAAACCCCAAGAACTTTCTGGAGCCAACCCCGAACGCATATTTTTCCGGGTTGAGTTTCATGTTATACTTCCTCAAGATATCGAAGGTTTCTTGGAGGTGTTTCAATTGATCACCTACATTAAAAAACTTGACTAACATTTCATCAATGTATATCTCCATTGTCTTTCCCATTTGATTTTCAAACATTTTGTTAACGAGCCTCTAATAAGTGGCTCCGGCATTCTTAAGCCCAAATGGCATTACATTATAACAATATGTGCCAAAGTTCGTTATGAATGAAGTTTTTTCCCTATCCTCCGGGTTCATCTTAATATGATTGTACCCAGATTAAGCATCAAGAAAACTCATTAACTCGTACCCCGCCGTAACAACAATCATTTGATCAATGTTTGGCAATGGAAACGAGTCTTTAGGGTACACCTTAATTAAATCCTTACAATCTATGCACATTCTAAACTTGTTATTCTTTTTTGGTACTACAACTACATTGGCTAACCATGTTGGATATTTTACCTCCCATATAGAACCGATATTGAGAAGTTGGGTTACCTCTTCTTTAACAAACTTATTCCTGATCTCGGTGATCAGACGTTTTTTCTGCCTTATCAGTGGGAAGTTTGGGTCCAGGCTTAATTTGCACACTGCCACTTCTAATGGGATACCTATCATATCCGAGTGCGACTATGAAAAAATCTATGTTAGCTTTAAGAAAATCTATAAATTCTAACTTGATATGGGGCTTGAGTCTTTCTCCCAAGTGAAGTTTTCTTTCCAAAAACTCTTCGAATAGGGCCACTTGCTCAGTTTTTTTGCAGTGGAATTGGTTGCATATGTCTCCTCCGGTACCTGAAAGTATCTCGGCACCTGGTGGGATCCTAATGACTCCTTGCCTTTATCATCTTTGTTCGGCAAGGGAGAAGGCATCGGTTCCTGTAATTGCTATTTGCTGGGCTCCTTCCCTTTGCTGCTGGAATTATTTACTGCGTTCATCTCCCTTTTTGCCGGTTGATCACCTCTTATCTGCTTGATTCCTTCGGGGATTGGGAATTTCAACAGTTGATGATATGTTAAAGGCACAACCTTCATTTCGTGTATCCAGGGCCTTTCAAGGATTACATTATAACCCATGTCGCTATCTACCACTTCAAATAAGGTGGTCTTAGTTACCTCTTCAGCATTCGTAGGTAGTAGGATATCTCCTCGGGTTGCCACACTTGTCAAGTTGAATCAAGCTAAGAGTTTTGTCACCGGAATGATGATTCTGGTCAGCTTTGCTTATTCAACACTCTCCATTGAATGATGTTGGCTGAGCTTCCCGGGTCAACCAAACATGCTTAATTTTGAAATCTAAAATATTAAGAGAGATTACTAGAGCGTCATTATGCCATAGTAGAAGTTCGTTGGCGTCTTCCTCCATGAAGGTGATATCATCTTTTGCGACTTTATGGAGTCTCTTGTTGTGAGTCACTGATATCTTTGTTTTCTTGGTGGCTCGGTCACTTAAAAATTCCCTGAGATGACCATTCTTTAATAATAGCACCACCTCTTCATGTAGATGCTGACACTCTCCAGTCCTATGACCGCGAGTCCCATAATATTCACACAACAAGTTGGGATCCCTCCGGCTGGGATCAGATCTGATTCTCGATATTACTCATCGTCGATACCAACTCCACTAAGCTGATGACTTGGGATATGTGGAGTCTTTGGGCTCCTAGTACCTTTT